TCCTGCTGACATTAATAGTGCAGGTAGCTACTCCATATGAGGAAAAACATATAAAGCCAAGCAGCTGCTTCGTGAATTTCAACAAGGTCTCTCCTCTGAGTAAAGTACTCAATGAGGGTAATGCACTTTCCCTTTTTATTCATGGGCCCCAGTAAGCAAAATCAGGATGCTGGCATAACTGTTTTGCTTACATAAGATAGTAGAGGCAGTACCTAAAAGTAGTGTACATGTGGAATTGTGGACATTTGATTCAGCTTTACAGACCATTGTTCCATAATTTGCTATTTCTTTTGCATTTAAAATACTACTAATGACATAAAGTTCAGCTGTTGATGCCCTCCTCCAGTGGTTTGGGGGGAATGAATATATCTTAAAGGAATTTCAGATGGCAACTAGGCAAATGGCAATTTTAAGTTTAAAGACATTTTTTCTGTAGATATGTACACTCTGGCCTGGTGGGAATGCCCAACACTAATATTTGAGAGGAGTAGGAACCGTCTCCTTCATGCAATAGGAAACAAAAATCCATGCTTACCTGATTAGCTCTGGCACACATGCTATGCTGTGGGTTCGGGATGTGAAAGGTGAAGCCACAGACGCCTCCTGCTCTGACAGTGATATTCCTGCATGCGCCACTTTCAAAGCCTGAAAGTCACATTCTTCTTCAGGACTCACAAACCAGAAAGACACAGCAACTGACATGTCAGCCAAGAAGTGACCCCTTATTACTACTTCTGTGAACAGCAGTCCCTTTTCACCCCCTGGGTGTCCTCCACATCGGAGTTTCCTCCAGTGGGGTGTGGCTGAGGCATCGTTTGCAGAAGAATGAGGATGACAGCATGGGAAAGTCCATTTTCCACAGACCCCAAAGCCATCCACTACCAGTTGCAGAGGATAGGTTTGGATCTTTTGTCAACTTATTTGCAGTCACACCTTCTGTAGACAGTCTAGGTTCTCTGCTTGCTTCCCCCAGGAGAATCCTTGGGACTTTGTATTAGGTCAAGTGAGCCCTTCACTGCCTAGGTGCCATTTCTCTCACTGTCACAAGGATGTGTGAAGTCATGGAGTGAACTGAAGGGTCCCTCCTAAACATGGACCCTTGCTTTTGGGAAAAAAACAAATTTTTCTTGCACTTCTAAAATGTGCATTTACAAAAACCTTGTTGGACTATAGCTGATCCCCATGGAAACTCCTCCTCAACTTAAGTCTTCTCCACCCCTAGATAGATGTTGATAAAAACCCCAGTGGAGGATTTGGATAATCCTCTGGTGGTTTTCGCAAAGGAAGTGAACCAGTCCTTGAGACCACGAATGGCAACAGTCTCTGCCTAGGGCAGCTCTTCTGTGGGATCAGGCCTGAATCAGTACCAGTACTCTGTGAATAAGCAGATCACTCCCATCTTCTGCACATGCACAGTTTCGGATATTCTCCTGGCACTGCGTTATTTTTTTGGTTTTTAAATAAATATATTGTAAGGAATTTTCACTTACCCCACAGTCATTGGCTCCATCTCCACACATGCCCACAAAGTAACTAAAAAATAAAGTGACCGACAGTTCAGCTCTGGGGAAAGATGAGATATATGAACAGGAGGAGATCGAAGTCTCCTTCGACTCCTCCTTGGGGGAGGAGAGGGTGGAGAGCTGCCTGGTGGAAAGGGACCT